AGAATTCGAAAAAATTCAAATTTGAAAAATCGAAAAATTGAGTCCAAACTTATATTGAAAGGATCTTGAGGATACCTTCACTAGTTTTTGAAATAATTTGGAAAAATCTCGTGAACCCCTTGTGTTTTGTTACTTAAGTAAATCGACAAACAAAAATTTAAAAGTTGAAAAATTGGAAAAGCGGAAAAATCAAAAAACGAAAAAATGGAAAACTGGAAAAACTGAAAAACCGAAATAGGCCAAAAATAAAATCTCGATAAATCGGGAATGAAAAATTAACAAATCGAAAAATTGAAAAACAGAACCTCTAAAACCAGGAAGTCGAAAAATCGAAAGATAAAAAAAATATCAAAAGATTGAAAAATCTAAAATTTAAAAATGCAAAAAATTGAAAAATCGAAAAAGTAATAAGGTAGACACATCGAAAAATTCAGAAGTCAAAAATAGAAAAGCCGAAGAATTGAAATATTGAAAAATCCTAAAAGGGAAATATGTATCTAAAAACTGAAAAATCGAAAAATCAAAAAAGTGAAGTCGAAAAATTAAAAAATCAAAAACCTGAAAAATCAAAAAATTAAAGAATTGAAGAACAGGAAAATCGAAACACTCGAAGGACAAGAAATGGGAAAATCAAAACATCGATTGATTGAAAAATCGAAAAATTGAGAGTTTACAAAAGTCAAATTTGAAACATTAAAAAATCGAAAATTTGACAAAATGACAATTGAACAACAGAAAATCTAAAACCGGGAAGTCGAAAAATCAAAAGATTAAGAAATCGAAACATTTGAAAAATGCGAAAACTTGAAAAATTGAAATATCGAAGAACTGAAATGAAAAATCGAGAAATCGAAAAATCTAAAATTTTAAATATTGAAAAATTAAAATATCAAAAAACCGAAAAATCTAAAATTTAAAAATCAAAGAATTGAAAAACCGACAATTGAAAAACAGAAAACCTAAAACCGGGAATTAAAAATGTGGCAAATTAAAAAATGAAATATGAAAGCCCAAAAATTGAACAAATTAAAATTCAAAACTCGAAAAACTGAAAAATCGAGAAACGGAATACTTTAAAAAATGAAAATTTAAAACTGGACATTAGAAAACTTGTAAATTGAAAAAACAAAAAAACTGTAAAATCGAAGAACTACGAGTCAAAAAATTTCAAAAAATTCCGAAGTCGAAAAATCGAATAATTGAAAAATTTTAAGCTGAACATACGAAAAAGTGAAAATAGAAAATTCAAAAAATTAAAAATTGAAAAAAGCAAAATTGCAAAATCGCGCAACTGCAAACCGAAGAATTTGAAAAAATTTAAAATCAAAAAATTGAAAAATCCAATTGAAAAAAACGAAACCTTGAAAAACTGAGGAATTAAAAATAGACTAACTGAAAATTGAAAATTTCGAAAAACGATAATTGTAAAATCGAATAAATGTAAATCGCAAAATTAAAAAAAATTCAAAAGTCGAAAAATTCAAAAAATTAAAAATTTAAAAGTTGAATACTCCAAAAACCGACAGTCAAAAATTGAAAAAAACAAAAATTAAAAGTCAGCAAATCTGAAAAATGAAAAAATTGAAAATAAAGAAAAACTATAAAATCGGAAAACTCCAAAAAATTCCGAAGTCGAAAAATCGAAAATTGAAGAGATGAAAAGTTAAAATATCGAAAAATTAAAAGTCGGAAAAACTGGAAATTCAAAAAACTGAAAAAAGAAAAATTGAATTGAATTACAAATGCAAGATTTCGAAAAAATTCAAATTTGAAAAATCGAAAAATTGAGTCCAAACTTATATTGAAAGGATCTTGAGGATACCTTCACTAGTTTTTTAAATAATTTGGAAAAATCTCGTGAACCCCTTGTGTTTTGTTTCTTAAGTAAATCGACAAACAAAAATTTAAAAGTTGAAAAATTGGAAAAGCGGAAAAATCAAAAAACGAAAAAATGGAAAACTGGACAAACTGAAAACCGAAGTAGCCCAAAATAAAAAATTGAAAAACTGATAAATCGAAAACTTGAACATTCAAATCTCGATAAATCGGGAATGAAAAATTAACAAATCGAAAAATTGAAAAACAGAACCTCTAAAACCAGGAAGTCGAAAAATCGAAAGATTAAGAAAAAAATATCAAAAGATTGAAAAATCTAAAATTTAAAAATGGAAAAAAGTGAAAAATCGAAAAAGTAATAAGGTAGACACATCGAAAAATTCAGAAGTCTCAAGTAGAAAAGCCGAAGAATTGAAATATTGAAAAATCCTAAAAGAGAAATATCTAAAAACTGAAAAATCGAAAAATCAAAAAAGTGAAGTCGAAAAATAGAAACCTTAAAAAAATCGAGAAATTGAAATATCAAAAACCTGAAAAATCAAAAAATTAAAGAATTGAACAGGAAAATCGAAACATTGGAAGGTCAAGAAATGGGAAAATCAAAACATCGATTAATTGAAAAATTGAGAGTTTATAAATGTCAAATTTGAAAAATTAAAAAATCGAAAATTTGATAAAATGACAATTCAAAAACAGAAAATCTAAAACCGGGTAGTCGAAAAATCAAAAGATTAAGAAATCGAAACATTTGAAAAATTCGAAAACTTGAAAAATTTAAATATCGAGGAACTGAAATGAAAAATTGAGAAATCGAAAAATCTAAAATTTTAAATATTGAAAAATTAAAATATCAAAAAACTGAAAAATCTAAAATTTAAAAATCGAAGAATTGAAAAACCGACAATTGAAAAACAGAAAACCTAAAACCGGGAATTAAAAATCTGGCAAATTAAAAAATGAAAAATGAAAGCCCAAAAATTGAACAAATTAAAATTCAAAACTCGAAAAACTGAAAAATCGAGAAACTGAATACTTTAAAAAATGAAAATTTAAAACTGGACATTAGAAAACTTTTCGAAAAACGATAATTGTAAAATTGAATAAATGTAAATCGCAAAATTAAAAAAAATTCAAAAGTCGAAAAATTGAAAAAATTAAAAATTTAAAAGTTGAATACTCCAAAAACCGACAGTCAAAAATTGAAAAAACCAAAAATTAAAAATCAGCAAATCTGAAAAATGAAAAAATTGAAAATAAAGAAAAATTATAAAATCGGAAAACTCCAAAAAATTCCAAAGTCGAAAAATCGAAAATTGAAGAGATGAAAAGTTAAAATATCGAAAAATTAAAAGTCGGAAAAACTGGAAATTCAAAAAACTGAAAAAAGAAAAATTGAATTGAATTACAAATGCAAGAATTCGAAAAAATTCAAAATAGTTTTTGAAATAATTTGGAAAAATCTCGTGAACCCCTTGTGTTTTATTTCTTAAGTAAATCGACAAACAAAAATTTAAAATTTGAAAAATTGGAAAAGCGGAAAAATCAAAAAACGAAAAAATGGAAAACTGGAAAAACTGAAAAACCGAAATAGGCCAAAATAAAATCTCGATAAATCGGGAATGAAAAATTAACAAATCGAAAAATTGAAAAACAGAACCTCTAAAACCTGGAAGTCGAAAAATCGAAAGATTAAAAAAATATATCAAAAGATTGCAAATCTAAAATTTAAAAATGGAAAAAATTGAAAAATCGAAAAAGTAATAAGGTAGACACATCGAAAAATTCAGAAGTCAAAAATAGAAAAGCCGAAGAATTGAAATATTGAAAAATCCTAAAAGGGAAATATGTATCTAAAAACTGAAAAATCGAAAAATCAAAAAAGTGAAGTCGAAAAATTAAAAAATCAAAAACCTGAAAAATCAAAAAATTAAAGAATTGAAGAACAGGAAAATCGAAACACTCGAAGGTCAAGAAATGGGAAAATCAAAACATCGATTAATTGAAAAATCGAAAAATTGAGAGTTTATAAAAGTCAAATTTGAAAAATATAAAAATCGAAAATTTGACATAATGACAATTGAAAAACAGAAAATCTAAAACCGGGAAGTCGAAAAATCAAACGATTAAGAAATCGAAACATTTGAAAAATTCGAAAACTTGAAAAATTGAAATATGGAAGAATTGTACTGAAAAATCGAGAAATCGAAAAATCTAAAATTTGAAATATTGAAAAATTAAAATATCAATAACTGAAAAATCTAGAATTTAAAAATAGTTGAATTGAAAAAACGACAATTGAAAAACAAAAAATTTAAAACCGGGAAGTCGAAAAATCGAAAGATTAAGAAATCGAAACATTTGAAAAACTGAAACATGGAAGAGCTGAAATGAAAAATCGAGAAATTGAAAAATCAAAAATTTTAAATATTGCAAAATTAAAATACCAAAAAACTGAGAAATCTAAAATTTAAAAATCGAAAAAGTAAAAAGTCGACACATCGAAAAATCCAGAAGTCAAAAATGGAAAAGTCGAAGAACGGAAATATTGAAAAATCCCAAAACTGAAATATCGAAAAACTGAAAAATGAAAGAAAAACTGACGAATCGAAAAACTGAAAAATCCCAAAACTGAAATATCAAAAATCGAAAAATTAAAAAAGTGAAGCCGAAATATCGAAACCTTAAAAAATCGAAAAATTGAACAATCAAAAACTTGCAAAATCGTAAGATCGAAAAATTGAATAACAAATAAACTGAAAAATCTCAAAACTGAAATGTCAAAAAACTGAAAAATTAAAAAATTGAAAAATTGAGAAATCTAAGAATCAAAAAATTGAAGTTGAAAAATCAAAAGCTGAAAAATTAGAAAAATTGAAAAACCAAAAAACCTGAAAAATCAATTAATTGAAAAATCGACAAATAAAGAGTTTATAAAAGTCAAAAATTGAATAATCGAAATATTGTCGAAAGTAAAACGTGTCGTTAAAAATATTATGACATTTTTTCTACATAGTTGATTTTATTCCTAGTTAGAAACAAACACTGTTGCCAACATAAGTCGAGGAGTCCTCAACCGTCATTTAATTTAAACTATGACGTTTCTCTATGTTCTCTGCTGGAATGATCTTCCTGTTTCTGCTATCAGTGATTATCAAACAGTTTTTGTTTTTAAACACAGACAGACGTTGAACTTGTTGAAATACCTTGTAATAAAAAATGGGATCATGAGAAATTGGTAACACAGTGCTCGCAGAACTAAAAGTTTGTAAAAAAGTCATGCAAAAAATATTTATATCCAGTCCCGTGACACAATTTGTTGAGAATCACTGACTGTTGTGACTAGACGTCAATAAAAGTTAGGTTATTTGTAAACATTTGTAAACGTTGTAAGATGCACAACCAGCCGAAACTTATCGAACTGCGCCCCAATCGGGCCCTCCTGAATTCCAATTTCGACGGCTACAAGTTAAGTCTGGCCCAAATTCCCACGGTTACGAAAGAATTGAAAGTCCCAGTGGATCGACTGGTGCCCGACATAAACCAGTATTCTCTGCTACATGCCAAACTCTACGCCCTCCACAACCACCTAGTCGGCGAAAGCGATGACTCAGAGTCCATTTACTTCATCGACAAGGACCTCCACGTCCAAAAATTCACAATTGAAGCCCTAACTAGCCACTTCTCAAGTGTGACTTTGTGGAAGGTGCCGCTCCAAAGAGAGAGAAACCCTGGCGACTATAACGTTTCGATGAAGCTTGTGACTGATAAGATTGCCGTGGTGGCGGATGGAATGGGGTATTTGTATGTTGTAGACCGAGGTTCTAGGGATGTAGATGAAAAGTGGAAAGTGATTTTCACGGGGGATGTGACAGGGCCTGGAGAAAAGTTTGTGATTACTGATGTGGTCTACAAAGAAGAGCAAAAGCCAGAGTTGCATTTATTGTTGACTACTATAAGACAGAAGGAGGAAAATGAGAGACATTCCACGGTGTTGCACTGGGTGACTTTGGAAAAAACTGATGTTTGGAATCAGGTTGCTATTAGAGAGCTAAGTGTTAGTGGGTTTGTCCAGTATGCAAATTTAGAGCGCAGTTGTGACGCGCTCTATGTGATAAGTGATACCGGGTGTAAGTTTGTTTTGGATTCAGAAAATGAAATTCGTGACACTCAGGAAGTTCAAGTTGAGACTGAGAAGAAATACAAATGGGGGCAAGGAAGCGACGATGTTACTTTGAAGTTTAGTCTTTGTGAAAATATTAGCAAGAATTTAGTTACTGTGGAAGTCCAGGCTACACAAATTAAGGTTAAATACGGCGATGAAGTTCTTCTAGAGGGTTTTTTGCATCAAAGGATCGACTCAGACATGACTTGTTGGACTGTCATGGGTGATACATTAGAGGTTGTTTTGCAGAAGTCTGAAAGTGGCTTGATGTGGCCTGAGGTTGTTGTAGGAGACACACTTGGGGAGTATGTGCCAGATCCTGCTTTAGTGGATGACGTCGTGGAGAGGTTGGCACCACTTACAAGCGACATTGAGGTACTAATGGTCGATTTATAAACTTGCCGTTGATGTTGGCGTTACTTACTTTTTGCCCATTTTTTTTAAAACACGTTTAAAATGGTAAATTTTATCGATTTTGCAATTAGTCTCCGCCCCTCGGTCTGACAATGAAAAATTCATCACGATTGAGATTGAGACAGATGGGTGGGGCTTCTCTTTGGTTTTCTTTTTCAATTAATACATTTAGTTTTCTTTAAGTACTTAGGAACACATTTCACATGGTAATTTATCGAAAATAAATAAGGATTTGAAAATCAAGCTCCGCCCCTCGGCTTACGACGAATAAAAAAAATCATCAGAATTGAGACAGGTCGGGTGGGCAGGGCTTATTTTTTGCCTTTTTTTCTTAATATACATAGCCATCTTTTCACAACATGAAACTTAAAACATTGTTAAAATGGTACATTTTTGCAAGGAAATATGGATTTCGCAATTATGGGGCGGAGCTTAACTGCAAAATACTTATTTCTTTACAAGAAATTGAAAACATGTTTTTGAGTATCGTGTTGTTCAAACAATACTATGTATATTAAGAAAAAAAAGGCACAATATAAACCCCGCCCACCCACCCTTTCTCTTTTTTTTATTCTTAGAAACTTAAAATATGTTTAAAACGGCAAATTTTTGTACGGAAATATGGATTTTGAAATTAGGCTCCACCCCTAGGCCTGCCAACGAATGAAAACTTCATTACTATTTAGATCAAGGCAGATATTGGTGGGGCTTAATCTTTGGCTTTAATTTTTTCTTAATATACATAGTATTCTTTGAAAGAAATAAGGATTTTGCAGTTAAGCTCCGCCCCCTTGGCTCACGACGAATAAAAAAATCGTCACAATCGAGATAGGGTGGGTGGGCGGGGCCTTTTTTTTTTCTTTATATATAGCCATCTTTTCACAACAAGAAACATGATTAAAATGGTACATTTTTGCAAGGAAATATGGATTTTGCAATTATGGGGCGGAGCCAAAAAAATTCCAGAAATACAAGAAATATAATAAACCAAAACATCGTAAATATCCAAAAAATAAAAAAAAATCTAAAAAAAAAATCTAAAGAATTTAAGAAGCCCAAAAAACGGAAAATATCCACAATTCCAAAAAAATTTAAAATTAAAAAACCAAAAAATCTAAAAAATCCAAACAAGACAAAAAATCGAAGAAATCGAAAAAACCCAACACACTCAAGAAATCCAACAACTCCAAAAATTAAAAAACCAATAGATCTAAAAAATCAAAACTCGCAAAAAAGAAAAAACAATCAAAAAATCTAAGAAACAAAAAATTCAACAATTCAAAAAATCGAAAATATCCGAAAAAAAGTTTAAATAATTTAAAATATCCAAGAAACTCAAGAATCTCAAAAAGTCAATAAATCAAATAATTTTAAAATTCCAAAAATAGAAAATATCCCAAAAATTCTAAAACTACAAAAAAAAAACAGAAATAAAAGAAATCTAGTAATCCAAAAAATCTAAAACATAAAAAAAAATTAAAAAATCTAAAAAATCTACAATACAAGAAATCGAAGAAATCCAAAAAAAAAACGACAAAGTCAAGAAATCCAACAATTCCAAAAATTAAAAAACCAAAAAATCTAAAAAATCAAAACAAAAAAAAATTAAAAAGATCTAATAATTCGAAAAATCGAAAATATCCGAAAAAAATTTTAAAAAATTAAAAAATCCAAGTCGCTCAAGAAACTGAAAAACTTCAATAATTTCAAAAATCTAAAAATAAAAAATATCCCAAAAAATTTAAAAATCCAAAAAACCTCAGAAATACAAGAAATATAATTGTTTAAAAAATCTAAAACATCCAAAAAATTCAAAACAATCTAAAAAATCAAAGAATTAAAAATTAAAAATCTAAAAAATTTAAGAAGCCTAAGAAACTGAAAATCAAGAAATCCAATAATTCTAAAAATTCAAAAAATCCATGGAATCAGAAAAAAATACCAAGGAAAATAAAAATTATCAAAAAAATTGAAAAATCGAATAAATAAAAAAATAAAATTTAAACTAACCAAAAAAATAATAATAAAAACAAAACCTTCAATAAATTCAATAATTCAAAAAAATCGAAAATATCCGAAAAGAAGTTTAAAAAATTTAAAAGATCCAAGAAACCCAAGAAACTCAAAAAGTCAATAAATCAAATAATTTTAAAATTCCAGAAATAGAAAATATCCCAAAAATTCTAAAACACCAAAAAATTTTAAACAATCTAAAAAATCCAAACAATACAAGAAATCGAAGAAATCCAAAAAAAAACCGACAAACTCAAGAAATCCAACAATTCCAAAAATTAAAAAACCAAAAAATCAAAACATAAAAAAAATTGAAAAAAATTAAAAAGATCTAAGAAACAAAAAATCCAATAATTCGAAAAATCGAAAATATCCGAAACAATTTAAAAAAAATTAAAAAATCCAGGTCGCCCAAGAAACTCAAAAACTTCAATAATTTCAAAAATCCAAAAATAAAAAATATCCCAAAAATTTAAAAAATCCAAAAAACCTCAGAAATACAAGAAATATAATTGTCTTAAAGATCTAAAACATCCAAAAAATTCAAAACAATCTAAAAAATCGAAGAATTTAAAAAAAATTAAAAATCTAAAGAATTTAAGAAGCCTAAGAAACTGAAAATCAAGAAATCCAATAATTCTAAAAATTCAAAAAATCCATGGAATCAGAAAAAAAATACCAAGAAAAATAAAAATTATCAAAAAAATTGAAAAATCGAATAAATTAAAAAAAAAAATTAAAATTTAAACTAACCAAAAAAAAATAATAAAAACAAAACCTTCAAAAATCCAAAAAACGGAAAATATCCCACAATTCCAAAAAAATTAAAAATTAAAAAACCAAAAAATCTAAAAAATCCAAACAATACAAAAAACCGAAGAAAAAAAAAACAAAACAACAAACTCAAGAAATCTAACAACTCCAAAAATTAAAAAACCAAAAAATTTAAGAAACAAAAAATCCAATAATTCGAAAAATCGAAAATATTCGAAACAAATTTTAAAAAATTAAAAAATCTAAGTCGCGCAAGAAACTCAAAAACTCCAATAATTTCAAAAATCCAAAAATAAAAAATATCCCAAAAATTTAAAAAATCCAAAAAACCTCAGAAATACAAAAGTCTAAAAAATTCAAAACAATCTAAAAAATCAAAGAATTAAAAAAAAAATAAAAAATCTGATAATTCTAAAAATCAAAAGGTGAAAATATGTCAAAAATTAAAAAAATCCAAGAAATCAGAAAATAAAAAATAACTAGAAAATAAAAATTATCCAAAAAATCGAATAAATAAAAAAACAAAAAATAAAAAAAATTAAAGAAACCAAAAAATTCAAGAAATTTAACAATTCCAAAATGTTTAAAAATTCGAAAAATGAAAAAAGCAAATCAAATAAATTCAAAAATTCTCAAGAATAAAAAAACGAATAATTCAAAATATGGAAAACCAAATAAATCCGAAAAGCTCAAGAGACTCAAGAAATCCAATAATTTCAAAAATCCAAAAAAATCTAAAAACTCAAAGAATTTAAAAAAACATAAATCTAAAGAATATAAGGAGCCCAAGAAACTGAAAAAACTCAAGAAATCCAATAATTCTAAAAATCAAAAAGTGAAATTACGTCAAAAACTCAAAACATCCAAGAAATCAGAAAATAAAAAATTACTAGAAAATAAAAATTATCCAAAAAATTGAAAAAACGAATAAATAAAATTAAAAAATTTAAACCAAAAATTTAAGAAATTCAATACTTCCAAAATTCCAAAAAATTCAAATCATGCCTAAAATCCAAAAGAATTAAAAAAATAAAAAACTCAAAAAATCCAAACAATACAAAAAAAAAATGAAAAAAAAATCCAAAGAATAAAAAAATGAATCCCAAAGATGGGAAAAAATTAAAAAATCGAAAAAATCCAAGAAAAACAAAAATAATCCAAAAAATTGAAAAATAATATCTAGGAATTTGAGAAAATATCTAAACAATCCAAAATCAGAAAATAAAAAAATAACACTAAAATAAAAATTATCAAAAAAAATTGAAAAATCGAATAAGAAAACAAAAATAAACAAATTTAAAGAAACTAAAAAATCCAAGAAAACCAAAAACCAAATAAATCCAAAAAATCCGAAAACTGAAAAATTTTCAGCTCTAAAAGTAATTTCAGCGTCAACAGCAAGTTTATAGATTCCGCTGACGTCATTAATTAGTTGGACAGGAATATAACAATTTTTTTCAGGCCACACCTCCATCCGGGGCCACTTTTAACAGCCAGCAAGTGGAAGAGTGTGACTTCGAGTGCGACAAGCTGACCATTTTGGAACGCCTGTCCCGAAATTCGCACAACATCACCCACAAAGTGAATTTGGGGTCACATCAAGTACTCTTAACTGTCAACTTGGACAATCAATCGCCATTGGCTGTAGCAGTTCGTAGTGACGTAGACGCCTGCATTTGGCAACCCCAATGGATTTCAGACGACTTTGTAGTCGAACATCGGGGTACTTTGCTAGCGCTAGGATACATTCAAGTAGGTTCTAAGTCCAAAATAATAAACACTAACGTGTGTATTACAGGCTTCAAAGCAACAAATGAAATTTTTTGCGTGTTCCCCGGACTTAAGTTACTCTGTAATATGCGAATCAACGAAACATATTTTCATTTATTGTCAAAACAAGAGTATTGGATCAGGTGAATTAAAAAATCGAATAACCGGACGCCGAATTACCACGATGGCGCAACAACAAGTATACAGCTTACCTAGTAACGACGAAATCCTGGGTGTATTTGCGTCAAATACTTACTTATATGTACTGGGAGAAAATTTTATTACAGCCTTGAAGTTGTAGTAATTTTTTAATAACGACAATAAATCACAGAAATCAATCTTTTTTTACAAGTTCATGGCAGGCTGAGACAATATCAGGGTACTTAAATTGGTAGCCTAGGTTTGTGGCCTTCTTTGGGAGAACCCTCTGCCCTTGTGTTAGCATATTCGCCCTTTCCTGACTTAGTAACACGTTCAATACCATCTTAGGGACTGGTATTAAGGCCGGTCGACCCATGGCTTTAGCAAACGCCTGAAATTTTAATCACTTAATTTTACTTACAATAAAAAAAAAAGGATATAACGTACGTCAGTGAACTGCTTATTGGTTACACTGTGTGGCGCCACTCCATTCATCGTCCCGTCAACCTTATTGTTTTTAATAGCGAATAACATCAAACCAACTATATCGTCAATGTGGATCCATGGTAAGAACTGATCACCGGGCATCACGGGCCCCCCTAACCCCAAAAAGAACGGCATGTACAGCTGCTTAATCATGCCGCCGTTCTTCCCTAAAACTACCCCACTACGAATCGTCACTTGCCTCGTATCGCTGTCGGGAAGTTTAGCGGCGTCTTCCCACTTATGACACAAACTCGACAAAAAATCATACTCTTCCCCTGCGCAGGACTCATCATAGATTTTAACTTTATCCGGTTTGTATATTCCTACTCCTGATATTGTCAAAAAGACTGCTGGTTTGTGGTCTGAGTCTGTAATCGCTTTGGCTAGAGACGCGGTTGTGTTAACTCTGGAGTTGAACACGTTTTGTTTGAAGCCCGCATTCCAACGTTGTTTCATGTCGAGGACGTTTTGGCCTGCCAGGTTGATCACAGTGGTTGTACCCTCTGGAAGTCCGTTGTCGTTTAGTTCGTTCCATGTCATGCGTTGGGGGCCCGGCATTCGCGAGATAATGGTGACCGAATAGCCCTTGGACTTCAGGGCTTTGCAGAGGTGGGTTCCGATGAAGCCCGTGCCGCCCCCTGAAACACGAAACTATTATTATTGGTTTATATGGGGGCTGCAAACTGTAAACAAACCCACGACAGCGATACCCAACTTTGACATTTTGACATTAACTATTTATTTGTTCGTTTGTTGCATTATAATACTTTCAATTTATAATACCTGTGATGTAAGGGTAAAAAATTAGAATCGATATTTGTTCAAATTGAAGTTTTTGTTTTATATAAGATCATTTATAAATAAATTAGGGCATCTTCGTCTGGTGCGTACCGTCGCGATACGTCTCACTCGCTCTAGCCAAGACACCAATTGTCAGCATAGTGGATTTTGAAACACAGATCGTGTAGTGGCACACCTGTGACGTATTTATAAATAATTTTGTGTCTCTCTCTGACAACTCGTCCCGCGTATCCACAGCTCGTATCACAGTAATATCAGAGAACATAGAGAAGCGTCATAAGTTAAATTAAAGTGACAAATTGACATTAGATTTTCCAGAATATTACAAGCTGCTTACTGTTTTCTTCACTTTAATTCAGGTCACACGAATTACAGTTGGTCGTCTGAAAACTCGTTTGATCTACAGACCAGAGCGCACTCAGGCCAATATCGTCTCTAAGCGTTCGGAAACGATTTGATTTATAAGCCATGATCCGTGAGCTGATACACATCCTAACCGGTTTCGACCATAATTTCTGCTGTTTCAACTTTCGAATTCTCAGTTTTGCGAAATTTTAGTTTGGGAATTTTTCAGTTTACTCCTATTTATTATTAAATTTTTGGATTTTACAATTTCTCAATTTTTCGATTTCTCGGTTTTTAGTTTTTCTTTTCAATTTACGATTTTTAAATATTTCGGTTTTTCAATTTTTGACTTTTATAAACTCTTATTTGTCGATTTTTCAATTAATTGATTTTTCAGGTTTTTTGGTTTTTTAATTTTTCAATTTTTCAACTTCACTTTTTTGATTTTTCGATTTCTCATTTTTCGATTCTTTGGATTCTCAGTTTTTGGATGCTTCAGTTTTGGGATTTTTCAGTTTTTCGATTCGTCACTTTTTCATCATTTTTCAGTTTTTCGATATTTCAGTTTTGGGATTTTTCAATATTTTTGTTCTTCGAATTTTCCATTTTTGACTTCTGGATTTTTCGATGTGTCGACTTTTTACTTTTTCGATTTTTAAATTTTAGATTTCTCAATTTTTTGGTATTTTAATTTTCCAATATTTAAAATTTTTGATTTTTCGATTTCTCGATTTTTCATTTCAGCTCTTCCATATTTCAATTTTTCAAATGTTTCGATTTCTTAATCTTTCGATTTTTCGACTTCCCGGTTTTAGATTTTCTGTTTTTCAATTGTCGTTTTTTCAGTTCTTCGATTTTTAAATTTTAGATTTTTCAGATTTTTGATATTTTAGTTTTTCAATATTTAAAATTTTAGATTTTTCGATTTCTCAATTTTTCATTTCAGTTCTTCGATATTTCAATTTTTCAAGTTTCGAATTTTTCAAATGATTAGATTTCTTAATCTTTTCATTTTTCGACTTCCAGACTTTGGATTTTCTGTTTTTCAATTGTCATTTTGTCAAATTTTCGATTTTTTTAGTTTTCAAATTTGACTTTTATAAACTCTCAATTTTTCCATTTTTCAATTAATCGATGTTTTGATTTTCCCATTTCTTCACCTTCGAGTGTTTCGATTTTCCTGTTCTTCAAATCTTTAATTTTTTGATTTTTCAGGTTTTTGATTTTTTAATTTTTCGACTTCACTTTTTCGATTTTTCAGTTTTTAGATATTTCACTTTTAGGATTTTTCAATTTTTGGATTTTTAAATTTTAGATTTTTCAATCTTTTGATATTTTTTTTCTTAATCTTTCGATTTTTCGACTTCCTGGTTTTAGAGGTTCTGTTTTTCAATTTTTCGATATGTTAATTTTTCATTCCCGATTCATCGAGATTTGATTGTTCAAGTTTTCGATTTATCAGCTTTTCAATTTTTTATTTTGGCTTATTTCGGTTTTTCAGTTTTCCATTTTTTCGTTTTTTGATTTTTCCACTTTTCCAATTTTTCAACTTTTAACTTTTTGTTTGTCGATTTACTTCAGAAACAAAACACAAGGGGTTCCCGAGATTTTTCCAAATTATTTCAAAAACTAGTGAAGGTATCCTCAAGATCCTTTCAATATAAGTTTGGATTCAATTTTTCGATTTTTCAAATTTGAATTTTTTCGAATTCTCGCATTTGTAATTCAATTCAATTTTTCTTTTTTCAGTTTGTTTGAATTTTTAGTTTCCCCGACTTTTAATTTTTCGATATTTTAACTTTTCATCTCTTCGATTTTCGATTTTTCGATTTTGGAATTTTTTGGAGTTTTCCGATTTTATAATTTTTCTTTATTTTCAATTTTTTCATTTTTCAGATTTGCTGATTTTTAATTTTTAATTTTTTCAATTTTTCGACTTTTGAATTTTTTTTAATTTTGCGATGTACATTTCTTCAATTTTACAATTATGGTTTTCGAAATTTTCAATTTCAATTAGTCTATTTTTAATTCCTCAGTTTTTCAAAGTTTCGTTTCTTTCGATTGGATTTTTCAATTTTTTCAAATTCTTGGGTTTGCAGTTTCACGATTTTACAAGTTTGCTTTTTTCAATTTTTCGTTTTTTCAATTTTCTATTTTCACTTTTTCGCATATTCAGCTTAAAATTTTTCAATTATTCGATTTTTCGACTTGGGAATTTTTTGAAATTTTTTGACTCGCAGTTCTTCGATTTTACAGTTTTTTTGTTTTTTCAATTTACAAGTTTTCTAGTGCCCAGTTTTAAATTTTCATTTTTTAAAGTATTGAGTTTCTCGATTTTTCAGTTTTTCGAGTTTTGAATTTTAATTTGTTCAATTTTTGGGCTTTCATTTTTTATTTTTTAATTTGCCACATTTTTAATTCCCGGTTTTAGGTTTTCTGTTTTTCAATTGTCGGTTTTTCAATTCTTCGATTTTTAAATTTTAGATTTTTCAGTTTTTTGGTATTTTAATTTTTCAATATTTAAAATTTTAGATTGTTCGATTTCTCGATTTTTCATTTCAATTCTTCGATATTTCAACTTTTCAAGTTTTCGAATTTTTCAAATGTTTCGATTTCTTAATCTTTTGATTTTTCAACTTCCCGGTTTTAGATTTTCTGTTTTTCAACTGTCGTTTTCTCAAATTTTCGATTTTTTAATTTTTCAAATTTGACTTCTACAAACTCGCAATTTTTCGATTTTTCAATTAATCGATGTTTTGATTTTCCCATTTCTTGACCTTCAGTGTTTCGATTTTCCTGTTCTTCAATTTTTTAATTTTTTGATTTTTCAGGTTTTTGATTTTTCAATTTTTCGATTTTTTAAGGTTCCTATTTTTCGACTTCAATTTTTGATTTTTCGATTTTTCAGTTTTTAGATGTTTCAGTTTTAGGATTTTTCAATATTTCAATTCTTCGGCTTTTCTATTTTTGACTTCTGGATTTTTCGATGTGTCTACATTTTTACTTTTCCGATTTTTCAATTTTTGGATATTTGCATTTTTGAGTTTCTCGATTTTCAAGTTTTTCGCTTAAATTCTCCGAATTTACAAGTTTTTGATTGAAATTGTATAATTTTGAAATTTCCATTTTTCAAGTTAACAATTTTTCGATTTTGCAATTTTTTAATTATTCGATTTTTTAAATTTACAGTTTGGAAATTCTTTCATTTTTCGATTTTTCAATTTTTAGATACATATTTTGATTTTTCTTTTTTTAATTTTGATTTTTACTTAGTTGCTCAATTTTTCGATTTAAAATTTTACAATTTTTCAATAATTCTCAAATTCTCGATTTTAATTTTGATTTTTCGTTTCTTCAATTTTGTATTTTTTTCATTTTTGCAATTTTTTTAATTTTTCAATTATTCGGTTTTATAATTTTACAGTTTTGAAATTCTTTCATTTTTTGATTTTTCAGTTTTCGGATTTTGCGTTTTTTCAAATTTTCGATTTTTATTTAGTTGCTCAATTTTTCGATTTAAAATTTTTAGATCTTTCAATTTTTAAGTTCTCGATTTTAATTTTTCAGTTTTTTTGTCCTTTATTTTTCAGTTTCTAGTTTTACAATTTTCAGTTTTGCAGATTTTCGAATTTTCAATTTGGTTATTTTGCAATTTGTCCACTTTTAGATTTTACAATTTTGATTAGTTTTCATTTTTTAGATATATATTTCGATTTTCCGGTTTTTCAATTTTTCATTTTTAAAGTTTTCAATTTTTAATTTTTAATTTTTTTATTTTAATTTTAGATTTTTAATTTTGTATTTTTCGAACTTTTCAAATTTTCAATTTTATATTTTTCGATTTTGCAGTTTCTCGATCTCTCACTTTTATTGCAAATTTTAGGATTTTTGATTTTTTGGGTTTCCAATTTTTCGTTAATCAATTTTTCGATTTTTCAATTCAATTTGAAATTGTTCGTTTTTTCAGTTTTCCAATTTTTCAATTCTCAAGTTGTCGATTTTAATTTTTCATTTTTCGTTTTTACAATTTTGTAATTTTTCATTTTTCCGATTTTTTAATTTGAAAATTTTGAGTTTGCGACTTTTCAGTTTCTTGTATTTTATTTTTCAGTTTCTAGATTTCGAATTTTTAGTTTCGCACTTTTTCGAATTTTCAATTTGGCTATTTCGCAATTTTTCGATTTTTAAATTTTACGATTTTGGTTTTATTCCAATTTTTAGATGTTTTGATTTTCCGTTTTTTCTGTTTTTTGGTTTTTAGTTTCACAGTTTTCCATTTTTAAAGTTCTCGATTTTTGATTTTGTATTTTTCACACTTTCCAAGTTTCAGTTTTGTATTTCTCAATTTTTTAGTTTCTCGTTTTTGCGAATTTTTTAAATTTAACAGTTTTGAAATTCTTTCATTGGTCAATTTTTCGACATTTAGTTGCTCGATTTTCAATTTTTTAGTATAAATTCTTTCATTTTACAAGTTTTTGATTTCAGTTTTTTGAGTTTTTAATTCTATAATTTTGAAATTTCCATTTTTCAATTTTGCAGTTTTTCGAATTTTTAATTTTTCGATTTTGCAATTATTTAATTCTGCAATTATTGGATTTTTTAATTTTATAATTTGGAAATTCTTTCATTTTTCGATTTTTCAATTTTGAATTTTTCATGTTTTCGATATTTTAATTTTTAAAGTTCTCAATTTTTAATTTTGTATTTTTCGAACTTTTCAAGTTTCATTTTTATATTTTTCGATCTTTCAATTTTTCTATTGCAAATTTTACATTTTTTTATTTTTCTACTTTCTAATTTTTCGTTTTTTCAATTTTTCGATTTTAGTTTCGCGTTTTTTCGAATTTTCAATTTCATGAATTTGGTATTTTTTTTAAATTTTAACAGTTTTGAAATTCTCCTTTGTTCAATTTTTCGATTTTTGGTGTCTGGATTGTTAATTTTTCGAATTTTCCATTTTTCACAAAAAAATTTATTTAAATCGACATTTTTTAAAATTGTAAATTACGAGATTTTAAATTATTTTCCCCGATGGATGTTTCTTCGACAAACTGGGAAATCGAAAAATTGCCAATACGAAAAATCAAAAGTTGAAAAATCGAAAAAAGAAAAAAATCTCCAAAAAATGTAAAAAACGAATAAGGCTACAAATAAATTTTAAAAGCATGATGAAAAAAAAACTAAAAAAAGAGAGTCAAAAAAGTCTACAAAAATAAAAAGTTTTACAATTTGGAAATTCCTTCATTTTTCGATTTTTCAATTTTTAGATGTATTGATTTTTCGTTTTTTCAATTCTCAAGTTCTAGATTTTAATTTTTCAATTTTGAATTTTTCATGTTTTCGATTTTTTAATTTTTACAATTCTCAATTTTTAATTTTGTATTTTTCGAACTTTTGAAGTTTCAATTTTATATTTTTCGATTTTTGTGGTTTCCAATTTTTCGATTTTCCTGTTCTTCAATTGTTTAATTTTTTGACTTTTCAAGTTTTTGATTTTTCAATTTTTCTATTTTTTAAGGTTTCTATTTTTCGACTTCACTTTTTTGATTTTTCGATTTTTCAGTTTTTAGATATTTCAGTTTTAGGATTTTTCTGTTTTCGACTTCTGGATTTTTCGATGTGTCTACCTTTTTACTTTTCCGATTTTTCAATTTTTGGATTTTTAAATTTTCGATTTTTCAATCTTTTGATAATTTAATTTTTCAATATTCCTTAATCTTTCGATTTTTCGACTTCCTGGTTAAATGTTCTGTTTTTCAATTTTTCGATTTGTTAATTTTTCATTCCCGATTTATCGAGATTTGATTGTTCAGGTTTTAGATTTATCAGTTTTTCAATTTTTTATTTTGGACTACTTCGGTTTCTCAGTTTTTCCAGTTTTCCATTTTCTCGGTTTTTGATTTTTCCGCTTTTCCAATTTTTCAACTTTTAACTTTTTGTTTGTCGATTTTTCAATTTTTCGATTTTTAAATTTTAGATTTTTTAATTTTTAAAATTTTAGATTTATCGATTTCTCGATTTTTCATTTCAGTTCTTCGATATTTCAATTTTTCAAGTTTTCGAATTTTTCAAATGTTTCGATTCCTTAATCTTTCGATTTTTCGACTTCTTGGTTTTAGATTTCTGTTTTTCAATTTTTCGATTTGTTATTTTTTCATTCCCGATTTATCGAGATTTGATTGTTCGGGTTTTCGATTTATCAGTTTTCCATTTTTTCGTTTTTTGATTTTTCCGCTTTTCCAATTTTTCAACTTTTTACTTTTCCGATTTTTCAATTTTTGGATTTTTTAAATTTTAGATTTTTCAATCTTTTGATATTTTATTTTTTCAATATTCTTGAATTCCTAGTTAGATGTTCTGTTTTTCAATTTTTCAATTTGTTAATTTTTCATGCCCGATTTATCGAGATTTGATTGTTCAGGTTTTTGATTTATCAGATTTTCAATTTTTTATTTTGGCCTATTTCGGTTTCTCAGTTTTTCCAGTTTTCCATTTTTTCGTTTTTTGATTTTTCCGCTTTTCCAATTTTTCAACTTTTAACTTTTTGTTTATCGATTTCTCTATTTTTCGATTTTTCGACTTCATCATTTTTCGATTTCTCGTTCTTTTGATCTTTCAATCTCTCATTTTTTCAATTTTTCAAATTTTTAAGTTTCTTGATTTCTCAATTTTTTCGAACAATTGAGAAACCGAAATGGACTTTTCGACTCCACGATTTCTTGATCTTTTGATTTTTCGATTTCTTGGTTTTTCGATTTTCCAGTCTTTCGATGTTTCCATTTTTCAGTTATCCGATTTTTTAAATTTGGGGGTTTCGATTTCTGGATTTTTCGTTATTCGGTTTTTAAATTTTAGATTTTTGAATTTTCCATTTTTTCGATTATCTGATGTTTCATTTTTCGATTTTCAGTTCTTCGATATTTCGATTTTTCAATGTTTCGGTTTTACGATTTTTCGAATTTTCGATTATTTTAATTTTTCAATTTTTTTCTCACTGTTAATATCATACAGAGTCATCAAAATTGATTGAGAGAGTTGGTAAACCTGAACTTGAATAATTTAGTTTATTAAGTTGTATAAAAATATTAGCTGTCAGATTTGAAGTTTCAAGTTTCAAATTTCAAAACTCAGTGGCGTCTTTTTTCGACTTTTTTTTTGTAAAAACATTAGTTGTCAGATTTGAAGTTTCTAATTTTTGTCACGCCACTGAATTCATTGCCATATAACCTTAAACAAGTCTGTCATAAGGATGACAAACTTCACGACAAAAACAGGGGGTACCAACTCTCTCAATCAATTTTGATGACCCTGTACAAAAATTGTCACTAAAACATTTAAAAATTCATACAAAATAGAACAGTGTTTCCAAAACATTTTCCCGAAAAAAATCCATTGGGTTACTACGATTTCAACAATATTCTTAGTTTAAGACGTTTTGCTAGTATAAAACACAAATAAAGAATTAATTCTTAGTTAAACAAAATATGTAAAATCGTCTAAATATGTACCAAAAATGTTCGCTATTGGCATCGACTATTTAAATTTGGCGCTTGCTTTTGACGGTTGAGGACTCCGACGTCAATAAGAGTGGTTTTGCAAAATCAGCCTGTATGTCGCATCTATATTAATCTATGGTCACATCATCTGTCTTTTTCATTCCGATTGACACTTTGTTAGTGTGTTTTATCAACACGGTCGCAAGGTTGGCCACCATGTTCCAATGGTGTTCAAACCTAACCTAAAAGTCCACAAAAACAAATCACTATTTTGGTGTGATTAAACGCACAATTTCGTTTTTCGCAACTAATGATGCTCTAATCTGACCGTTGTTTAGGCCAGTATGTCGGACGTCGTGGAGCTCCTCTTTTTCGACACTTTTGCGCACGACAACACTGAGGTAATTTTTCCCCATTTGTGTCACTGTACGCCCAAAAGTCGCAATTTCAGGAGCTAAATCTCGACTTGGTGCAATTCCCCAAACCCGTGTACGTCACTGAGGTGCGCATCATCCCCCTGGGGGCTCGCGTCCAAGCAGACTTCCCTGGAGGCGTTCGTTTAGGAGCGACGAACCCTAGTCAATTCCAAATTGAATTCTTTGTTAATGACTTGGGCAAGCCCGGGGCTAGCACGTTCGAGAGTTTGGGGGGGTTTGAGTACAACCAGAATGGGTGTATTAATCTTAATTGTGTGCCAGAGGATACTGTGAGGAAGATACCGACAGATGGGTTGGTGTTGCGGGGGTGGTATACGACTATAACGTTAGCGGTGTACGGGACGTTGACTAATAATATTACCGAACAGATTATTCAGCCTGTGGTGAATCCAGCGTTGCCGGCACAACCTAATACTATAGCCGATGCACAACAGATTATTTCTGGTAACACTATTGAGAACGAGTGGAATCAGGATAATATAACTAATGTTCCTATTGAGTATAATCAGGGGGCTGCGTCGTACCAGCAAACGTATAATCAACCAGAGAATTATTCACAGGAATACAACGAGTATTATAATGATGTCCCGAAGGACCCCAGGAGTTACCATCACCCGCCGCCAGAGGGCGAATGGGACGCGAAGGTGCGGCCGAGAAGTGGCGAGACCGAACGGGACCGGGAAAGAGACAGAGACAGGGATAGGGACCGAGACCGGGAAAGGTCACGGGAAGTGGGATATCAGGTAATTTCAAGTGTTTTTTTATTTCTAGTTAAGGTTAGAATCATCACCTGACACCACTTTGACAATCCCGATTCATGTCATGGTACAAATCCCGCTCAAATCAATTAAAATTCAATTTCGTTTTTAGAAAACTGGCAGTACTGAGCGGGACCACAGCCGGCCGGAGCCCGACCGGCGCGACCGAGACCGAGAGCGGGACAAGAACTACCCGCGGTCGCGCAGCCGCGACCGCCAGTCGCGCGATTACAGTCGGGACGTGAGCCGAGAGCGAGACTGGGACCACGAGCGCCAGGACTACCGCAACGAGCGCGACTGGGACCGGGACAGGAACCGAGACCGGGACCGCGATCGAGACCGGGACCGGGACCGCTCGTACAAGCACGACGAGAACTACCGAAGGTCGTACAACCGCGACGAACGGGAGGAGCGGAAACGGCCGAGGACGCCGCCGATTCAGTCGCCGAAGCGGCCTCACACGCCGCACGGCGAGCGGAAGGAGCCGTCGCCGCCCGAGCCGGACAGCTTCAGCGAGGAGGAGGTGGTGGAGAAGCAGAGGAAGGAGAAGGAGCGGGAGCGGGAAAGAGAAAGAGAGGAGGTGACGCCGGCGCAGAAGAGCCCGGCGAAGGAGGTGAGAACAATTTTGGAAAAAATCCTATCTAAATTGTAAAATGCGATCAGTCCATACTTCTAATTTATCATGTTTGAAGTTTATTGTTGTCGAAATAAGTCTACAAATATTAAGAAAAAACGGCAAAATGTAGCCCCGCCCACCCGCCCTATCTCAATTGTGATGATTTTTTTTTATTCGTCGTGAGCCAAGAAGGCGGAGCTTAACTACAAAATCCTTATGTCTCTACGAGAAATTAAAAACATGTTTTTGAGTATCGTGTTGTTTAAAGAATAGTATGTATATTAAGAAAAAAGTAAAGCCGTTTTCATTCGTTGTCAGATCGAGGGGCGGGGCTTAATTGCAAAATCCATATTTGTCTACAAGTATGACAATTTTAAACATGTTTTAAGTTTCTTGTTCTGAAAAGACGACTACGTATATTAAGAAAATAGGCAAAATATAAACCCCGCCCACCCACCCTATCTCAATTCTGATGATTTTTTTTATTCGTCGTGAGCCAAGAGGGCGGAGCTTAACTGCAAAATCCTTTTTCGCTTTTCAATATTTGGATATTGCACTTTTTGAGTTTCCCGATTTTCAGTTTTTCCTTTAAATCCTTCGAATTACAAGTTTTTGATTTCAATTTTTTGAATTTTTAATTCTGTCTAAATTGTACAAAATGTGATCAGTCTATGCTTCTAATTTATCATGTTTTAAGTTTATTATTGCCGAAATAAGTCTACAAATATTAAGAAAAAAAGGCAAAATATAGCCCCGCCCACCCGCCCTGTCTCAATTGTGATGATTTTTTTTTATTCGTCGTGAGCCAAGAAGGCGGAGCTTAACTGCAAAATCCTTATGTCTCTACGAGAAATTAAAAACATGTTTTGAGTATCGTGTTGTTCAAAGAATAGATGTATATTAAGAAAAAAATAAAGCCGAAGATTAAGTCCCACCCATACCCGCCCTGATCTCAATTCTCAATTGTGATGAATTTTTCATTCGTTGTCAGATCGAGGGGCGGGGCTTAATTCCAAAATCCATATTTGTCTACAAGTATGACAATTTTAAACATGTTTTAAGTTTCTTGTTCTGAAAAGACGACTACGTATATTAAGAAAAGAGGCAAAATATAAACCCCGCCCACCCACCCTATCTCAATTCTGATGATTTTTTTTTATTCGTCGTGAGCCAAATATGGATATTGAACTTTAGAGTTTCTCGATTTTCAATTTTTTCGTTTAAATCCGTCGAATCGCAAGTTTTTGATTTCAATTTTTTGAGTTTTTAATTCTATAATTTTGGAAATTCCATTTTTCAGTTTTACAATTTTGCAGCTTGTCGAAATTTCAGTTTTTCGATTTTGCAATTTTTTAATTTTTCAATTATTCGATTTTTCACTTTTTAGATATTATGATTTTTCGTTTTCTCAATTTTTCAATCAGGAATTTCTAGATTTTCAATTTTTTGGTTAAATCGAAACTTATAAATTCCATTTTCTGGTTTCTCGATCTCTCAATTTTTCTATTGCAAATTCTGAAATTTTTTATTTTTCGGGTTTCCAATTTTTCGTTAGTCAATTTTTCGATTTCTCAATTCAACTTGAAATTTCTGGTTTTTTCAATTTTTGGATATTTGCATTTTTGAGTTTCTCGATTTTCAAGTTTTTCGTTTAAATTCTTCGAATTTACAAGTTTTTGATTGAAATTGTATAATTCTGAAATTTCCATTTTTCACTTTTACAATTTTTCGATTTTGCAATTTTTTAATTAATCGATTTTTTAAATTTACAGTTTTGAAATTCTTTCATTTTTCGATTTTTCAATTTCTAGATACATATTTTGATTTTTCTTTTTTCAATTTTGATTTTTACTTAGTTGCTCAATTTTTCGATTTAAAATTTTTAGATTTTTCAATTTTCAATTTCTAGTTTTAGAATTTTCAGTTTTGCAGATTTTCGAATTTTCAATTTGGTTATTTTGCAGTTTGTCCACTTTTAGATTTTACAATTTTGATTTTTTTTCATTTTTTAGATATATATTTCGATTTTCCGATTTTTCGATTTTTTTGAAGTTTTCGATTTTTAATTTTTCATTTTTTTATTTTAATTTTGTATTTTCCGAACTTTTCAAATATTCAATTTTATATTTTTCGATTTTTCAGTTTCTTGATCTCTCAATTTTTCTATTGCAAATTTTAGGATTTTTGATTTTTCGGCTTTCCAATTTTTCGTTAATTAATTTTTCGATTTTTCAGTTCAATTTGAAATTGTTCGTTTTTTCAATTTTAGAACATTTCATTTTTTGAGTTTCTTGATTTTCATTTTTTTTAATTTAAATTCTTTGATTTTTCAATTTTTTGAGTTTTTAATTCTATAATTTTGAAATTTCCATTTTTCAATTTTGCAGTTTTCCGAACTTGCAATTGTTTAATTTTGGATTTTTTTAATTCTTCAATTATTCAATTTTTTAATTTTATAATTTGGAAATCCTTTAATTTGTAGATATGTATTTTGTTTTTCAGTTTTTTTCAATTTTTCGATTTTTCAATTCTCAGGTTTTCGATTTTAATTTTTAATTTTTTTGAAATAATTCTAATTTTCAATTTTTAAATAGTTTGATTTTTCGTTTTTTCGATATTGCATTTATCAATTTTTCAATAAGGAATTTCTAGATTTTCAATTTTTTGGTTAAATCGAAACGTATAAATTCGATTTTCTAGTTTCTCGATCTCTCAATTTTTCTATTGCAAATTTTATAATTTTTGATTTTTCGGGTTTCCAATTTTCAATTTTTCGATTTTTCAATTCAACTTGAAATTTCTGGTCTTACAATTTTTGAGTTTCTCGATTTTCAAGTTTTTCGTTTAAATTCTTCGAATTTACAAGTTTTTGATTGAAATTGTATAATTTTGAAATTTCCATTTTTCAATTTTACAATTTTTCGATTTTGCGATTTTTTAATTATTTGATTTTTTAAATTTCCAGTTTGGAAATTCTTTCATTTTTCGATTTTTCAATTTTTATATACATATTTTGATTTTTCTTTTTTCAATTTTGATTTTTAGTTAATTGCACAATTTTTCGATTTAAAATTTTACAATTTTTCAATAATTCCCAAATTCTTGATTTTTCGTTTCTTCAATTTTGTATTTTTTTCATTTTTGCAATTTTTTTAGTTTTTCAATTATTCGTCTTTATAATTTTACAGTTTTGAAATTCTTTCATTTTACGATTTCAGTTTTCGGATTTTGCGTTTTCTCAAATTTTCGATTTTTATTTAGTTTGCTCAATTTTTCGATTTAAAATTTTTAGATTTTTCAATCTTCAAGTTCTCGATATTAATTTTTCAGTTTCTTTGTTTTTTATTTTTCCATGTCTGGTTTTAGAATTTTCAGTTTTGCAGATTTTCGAATTTTCAATTTGGTTATTTTGCAATTTGTCCACTTTTAGATTTTACAATTTTGATTTTTTTCATTTTTTACATATGTATTTCGATTTTCCGGTTTTTCGATTTTTCATTTTTAAAGTTTTCGATTTTTAATTTTTCATTTTTTATTTTAATTTTAGATTTTTAATTTTGTATTTTCCGAACTTTTCCAATTTTCAGTTTTATATTTTTCGATTTTTCAGGTTCTCGATCTCTCAATTTTTCTATTGTAAATTTTAGGATTTTTGATTTTTCGGGTTTCCAATTTTTTGATTTTTCAATTCAATTTGAAATTGTTCGTTTTTTCAATTTTAGAATATTTCATTTTTTGAGTTTCTCGATTTTCAATTTTTTTATTTAAATTCTTTGATTTTTCAATTTTTTGAGTTTTTAATTCTATAATTTTGAAATTTCCATTTTTCAATTTTGCAGTTTTCCGAATTTTCAATTTTTTAATTTTGCAATTTTTTAATTCTTCAATTATTCGATATTTTAATTTTATAATTTGGAAATCCTTTAATTTTTAGATATTTTGATTTTCCGTTTTTTTTTCAATTTTTCGATTTTTCAGTTCTCAAGTTCTCGATTTTAATTTTCCAATTTTCGTTTTTACAATTTTGTGATTTCTCATTTTTTCGATTTTTTAATTTGAAAATTTTGAGTTTGCGACTTTTCAGTTTCTTGTCTTTTATTTTTCAGGTTCTAGATTTCGAATTTTTAGTTTCGCACTTTTTCGAATTTTCAATTTGGCTATTTTGCAATTTTTCGATTTTTAAATTTTACGATCTTGATTTTCAGATATTTTGATTTTCCGTTTTTTTTTCAATTTTTCGATTTTTCATTTCTCAAGTTCTCGATTTTAATATATTAATTGTAAATTCGAAAAATTGAAACTAAAAGTCGAATTGAAAACTCGAAAAAACAAGAAACTGTAAAATCGAAAAATTGAAAAAACGAAAAATTGGAAACTACAAAAATCAAAAAATTCTAAAAGTGCAATAGAAAAATTGATAAATTGAAAAATCGAAAAATATAAAACTGAAACTTGAAAAGTTCGAAAAATACAAAATTAAAAATCGAGAACTTTAAAAATGGAAAACTGTGAAACTAAACATCGAAAAATAGAAAAAAAGGAAAATGAAAATATCTAAAAATTGGAATAAAATCAAAATCGTAAAATTTAAAAATCGAAAAATTGCGTAATAGCCAAATTGAAAATTCGAAAAAGTGCGAAACTAAAAATTCGAAAACAAGAAACTGAAAAATAAAAAACAAGAAACTGAAAAGGTGCAAATTCAAAATTTTCAAATTAAAAAATTGAAAAAATGAAAAATCACAAATTTGTAGCAACGAAAAATTGAAAAAACGGAAAATCAAAATATCTAAAAATTAAAGGATTTCCAAATTATAAAATTAAAAAATCGAATAATTGAAGAATTAAAAAATTGCAAAATTAAAAAATTGAAAATTCGGAAAACTGCAAAATTGAAAAATGGAAATTTCAAAATTATAGAATTAAAAACTCAAAAAATTCAAAAATCAAAGAATTTAAATAAAAAAATTGGAAATCGAGAAACTCAAAAAATGAAA